CCGGTCTTCGAGATCTCCACCCGGAATCGCTTCTCCCCTCTTCGCGAGTCGGAACGCAACGAAGCCATGATCATCGGCACTTCCATGGTCCGTCATGTCCGTGCTACCTCAGGTAAGGGTAAGGTGCGCACTCACTGCTTTCCTGGTGCTCGTGTTCTTGATGTCGCCGCACAGGTTCCCGAGATCCTGAACGGTGACGAGCGCGTCGGAGCTGTGGTGCTGCACGCGGGGACGAACGACGTCAGGCTGCGGCAGACGGAGGTTCTGAAGAAGGACTACAGGAGCCTGATCGAGACGGTACGCAGCACAGCGCCTGAGGCAACGATCATCGTGTCTGGACCGCTTCCCACGTACCGACAAGGACAGGAAAGGTTCAGTAGATTATTTGCACTAAATGAATGGTTAATGTCATTGTGTAATGAACAAAAACTGCTCTTTGTAAATAATTGGAATCTGTTCTGGGAGCGACCTAGGCTCTACCGTGCTGATGGCCTGCACCCCAGCAGAATCGGAGCGGCTGTTCTGTCGGACAACATCTCCAAGACGTTACACACCGTATGACTAGAAAATCAAATTCCAAATCACAGTCTTTGCTGTGCCAATTTAATTGATATAAGTAGTGTAGAACATCATATAGAAACTGTGTCTATTCCTCGTTTAGTGAGGCCAAATAATAAATCTACTGTAGGATCCAGGAAAAATCTTATTGTAATTAAACCTGAAAATCTAAATATCAGTGAACAAAAACAATTTCTAAAACTAGGTCTTCTAAACATTAGATCGCTCACACCTAAGGCGGTTATTGTAAATGAAATGGTCACAGATAATAGCTTCGATGTACTTTGCCTTACTGAAACCTGGCTTAAACCAAACGAGTATTTCGGTCTAAATGAGTCCACTCCACCAGGATACTGTTATAAGCATGAGCCCCGTCTGATCGGTCGTGGCGGCGGAGTTGCAACAATCTATAGAGATATTCTTAATGTTACTCAGGAAACAGGTCACAGGTTTAATTCGTTTGAAGTACTTGTGCTAAACGTTACGCTCTTAGATGTAAGAAGGAAATCCCTATTATATCTAGCCTTGGCTACTGTATATAGACCTCCAGGACCTTACGCTGATTTCCTTAAAGAATTTGCAGACTTTCTCTCAGATCTATTGGTCAATACCGATAAAGCAATAATTGTTGGAGATTTTAACATACACGTAGATAACACAAATGATGCGTTAGGGACTGCGTTTACAGATTTATTAAACTCCTTTGGGGTCAAACAAAACGTCAGTGGTCCCACTCATCGTCTAAATCATACACTAGACTTAATTATATCATATGGAACCAATCTAACCGATATAGATATTATACCGCAAAGTGACGATCTCACTGATCATCACATGGTAACTTGTATAATACGTACTGCTGAAATTTGTCATGTTGCGCCACGTTATCGACCAGGCAGAACAATCCTTCCTACCACTATAGATAGATTCTCAAATAGCTTACCTGATCTATCTCAGCTGCTCAGAGAACCCAAACAAACAGATGAACTAGAGGAAATGACTAGCAGGTTGAGCACCTTTTTCTCTAGTACATTAGATATTGGTGCACCAATTAGACCAAAAAAGGTTAGAGAGAAAACTAAAGCACCATGGTACAACAGTGCTACGCATGCTATCAAGAGAGAAACTCGTAACTTAGAGCGTAAATGGAAACAAACTAATTTAGAGGTCTTTAGAATCGCGTGGAAAGACAGTATGTCACGTTATAAAAAGGCTCTAAAAGCAGCCAGGGCAGAGCATCTCCGCAAACTAATAGAAAATAACCAAAATAATCCAAGGTTTTTATTTAACACCGTGGCTAGACTAACAAATAAACAGACATCACCAGAGCAAAATATTCTGTTACAGTATAGTAGTAATGATTTTATGAACTACTTCAATGAGAAAATAGAAAGCATCAGAAACACAATTGTAAATGTACAATCCTCTATGGTGTCTTATGATTTAGCCTCAACTATGGCCCCTCTGGAACAACTACACCGCTTTACAAATATAGGACAGGAAGAGCTAAATAAACTTATCATTGCATCTAAACCAACAACATGTTTATTAGATCCAATACCAACTAAATTTCTGAAAGAAGTGTTACCTGTAGTGGAAGAGCCTCTTCTTAATATTATTAACTCGTCTTTATCTCTAGGTCATGTTCCAAAAATATTCAAGCTGGCAGTAATAAAACCTCTCATTAAGAAACCGCAATTAGATCCAAATAACTTAGCAAATTACAGACCCATTTCAAATCTTCCATTTATGTCTAAAATACTAGAAAAAACTGTGTCCGCTCAATTGTGCTCTTTCTTGCAAGAAAATGAGATATATGAAAAATTTCAGTCAGGATTCAGGCCGCATCATAGCACAGAAACTGCGCTAGTTACAATTACAAATGATTTACTTTTAGCTTCTGACCAAGGCTGTATCTCAATACTAGTTCTACTCGATCTTAGTGCTGCGTTTGACACTATCGATCATAAAATACTCTTGGATCGATTACAAAACTACACTGGTGTTCAGGGACAGGCATTAAGCTGGTTCAGATCGTACTTATCGGACCGTTACCATTTTGTTTGTTTAAATGGGGAAAAATCTAAGATAACGTCAGTAGATTATGGAGTGCCGCAAGGATCGGTGTTAGGCCCTCTGCTATTCTCAATATATATGCTGCCACTTGGTAATATTATAAGAAAACATGGAATTAATTTCCACTGTTATGCTGATGACACTCAATTATATATTTCATCACGGCCAGATGAAAACACTAACTTATCTAAATTGACAGAGTGTCTTAAAGATATAAAATGCTGGATGACGGGTAATTTCCTGCTACTAAATCCAGATAAAACGGAGGTATTACTTGTTGGTCCAAAAAACTACCCACAAAACCACTTACAATACAACCTTAATATAGAAGGATGTCCTGTTACTTTATCCTCTACGGTAAAAGACCTGGGAGTTATACTAGACCGCAACCTGTCTTTCGAAAATCATATTGCATATGTTACAAGAACAGCCTTTTTCCACCTTAGAAACATTGCGAAATTACGTAACATGCTATCTGTTTCTGATGCAGAAAAGTTAGTTCATGCATTCATGACCTCGAGACTAGATTACTGTAATGCCTTATTAGCTGGCTGTCCTGCATCCTCAATAAACAAGCTACAGTTCGTGCAAAATGCAGCCGCTAGAGTTCTTACTAGGTCAAGAAAATATGATCATATAACACCAATTTTATCATTTCTACACTGGCTACCTATCAAGTTCCGTATCAATTATAAAGTACTATTACTGACCTATAAAGCCCTAAATGGTTTAGCTCCTGTGTATTTAATGGACCTTTTATCGCCCTACAATCCATCGCGTTCTTTAAGATCACTAAATTCGAGGCTTCTGGTCATTCCTAGGATATCTAAGTCGACTAAAGGAGGGAGGGCGTTCTCACATTTAGCTCCTAAACTCTGGAATAGCCTTCCTGATATTGTTCGAGGCTCTGACTCGCTGTCCCAGTTTAAAACTAGATTAAAGACGCATCTCTTTAGCCAAGCATTTACATAATGGTTACCTTTTATACCACTGCTGAATCAGATCAAATGCATTTAATACTATAAAACTTGAAGAGACTGTAGGTTATTTGTATAGGTTGCATAGTATTTACAGTCATTACGTTCCTGTATATATTGCGTGAATGACGGGTGGTTGGGCAGATATTGTGTTGCGGTAGGTGGTATGCCATACGGAACCGTTGTCCACTGAAACTGCCTATTCACGCACCAGTGGGGCTCGACAGCCTTAGTCAACGGGTTGGCGCGTATGGTTGGGTTGCAGAGAGATTGTGAGATTGTGGTTAGGTCTCAGCAGCAGGAGGGACGTAGAGGTCAGTAAGCTGGGCTGAGTTGAGTGGGGGACGGAGGGGGGTGATTTTGGGACGCAAGAGTCACTGTCTTCATGTTTTATCATTTACGACTGTGCTATGGAAATCATCACTATGAACAGCAGCTACGCTAATTATTTTCCCTTTTTGCTTTTCTGCTGTTATCTCGGGACGCGAGTCCCGAGAAAATGGCGTTCGTCAACCCCAGTTTGTATCCAGCCTCTCACGGAGACTTCAGATGCTCCAATCACAAAGCCTGTGAATTGACGACTCAACGCGGACGATATGGACTCTCTATGGTGGACGGCACTGATCCTCAACAACTCGTCTTAATACCGGCATGATTACTTGGACTTCCAAAAGATGGAAATGGACAAATACTCTAAATGTTCCGATTCCAATCTGACTTGTAATGTTGCCCGAATCATGCACTGTTCCTTCGTTGGTCAGAGGAGAACTGGCCCCCCGACTGAGTCTGGGTTCTCCCAAGGTTTTTTTCTCCATTCTGTCACCTGATGGAGTTTTGGTTCCTTGCCACTGTTGCCTTGGCTTTTGGCTTGCTTAGTTGGGGACATTTAATATTCAATAATATTATTGATCTGCCTTACATAGGTGGACGTTGACGCAATTTTCTTTTAGAAACAAACTTTGTTATATTGTTATATTGTTTTTGTTATATTGTTTTCATGTTATCACTGTGTGAAGCGCTTTGATACAATCTATATTGTAAAAAGCGCTATATAAATAAAGGTGAATTGAATTGAATTGAATTTAGTTTCAGCCTCTGAGGGAAACAGTTAAAACAAACGTGTTAACTAGAATGACAGAGAAGAAAGCCACAGCAGATATACATGGCGACATTTACACAAATGGTCAAGCAATTATTAAATTAGTTGTTAGTCTCATAAAAATGCAATTAAGAACCTGTACAGTGTGAATACTAGACACCTGACGGATAAAGTATGTAACCTGGGATTACATTTACCCAGCGTTAAAAAGAAAGAATGAAATGCCTTCTGTACAGTTGTATGTGTGTGTATAAGTTAGATACTCACATACTGTCTATTGTGTTTCTTACCTGCTGGTGCTTTAATCAGAGGGGGCGGGATTAAGGGCACTATGATTGGCAGGCCTCCGTGCTCTTTAGAGGAGGAGGGGTTTACAGACGCTTCGCCTGTCACTCCATTCCGTGACGTCGGGGTAGAGCTAGAGCTGTTGGCGTGTGGAGGAGAACCACTGCTGTTCTCCACTGTGGATGCTTTTGGCAAAGAGTTCTCTAGAGAGGAGAGAGTGGTAATGGCGAGTCGGTTATGTCTCACAAAACAGTCACAGTGTGAAATACATGAGGTTAGTGGGATCTATGCTATTGTGCGACATGCCATTGGTAGGTTTGACTGTCATCAAATTCAAAAGGTCATGATCATTTCATTGTAGTCAATAAGAAATCATCATTTGCATTTACATTCTAAACAAACCATGGTCCATGTTATTCCAAAATTTTCAGAAAAAAATGACTCTCTGAAATTGCTTTGCTTTTCCTCTGACATCACTTAGGCCACATGGGCTGTTGGAAAAAGCCATATAGTTATTTGGGCATTATTTTAACAATCTCGCATTCAGGTCTGGCTCTATTCTGGTGGTATATAACACTTATTTGACACTAATAATTTCCTGATGGATAAAATTGAGTACTGATATATTTATTATTAGTATAATTATTTTATTATTAGTAGCATTTGCCTTTTTTCCTGTTGAATATGCTGTTTTACTGAAAAATATCATAATACAGAAGTAACAAAAACTGACTAAAGATTTGGCATGCATGTTCAATATTTACTGTGAATGAAGATGTTATACATCTTTCTTCGTGATTAGTGTTTCATTTTTAAATTCACAAGTCATTCAGAACTCTGGAGACTAGCGATATCTCAAACGCACACCCCATATTACTGTTTGACCTGTTACATGACAGAAAACTGATTAAATAGCTCTTGCAGAGTCCCGAGAAGACATTCCCATACTACACATACACACATCCACCTGCAGCAAATAAGACAAGATTTAACATGAGCACCCAAACAGATTACTGGGAGATAGCAGAAAGAAAAGCCCATTTGTTACTCTAACGGCTCGTTTAAAGACGATCACGGCTAAACGAGTTAATTAAGTCTCATTGTCCTTCGCCTAATCTCTCCACTTCCAGCTACGTCAACTAACAATAGTGAAATATCGTAATCTGCGGCTGTGTATTTGTCTGACGGAAGGAAAGTAATTACGGAGAGCATCACATGGCAGGCATGGTAGGTTGGAGAAATGTGGCTGAGTGCATGTTAGCTGGGAACCGTCTAACGCATAAATCACCATTTTCCTTAATGGAGGCTGGAGTATGGACTTAGCAAGGAATTAGCCAGCTCATTGTTTCGGCATCTCTTTCTCTGTCCTCATAGGGCCGCAGAAAAAATGGCTGACAGTTTAAGACTCTCTAATGCTCTGGCACGGAGGCTAGCCAGGAGACACCATGGAGGGTGCAAAGATAAAGCTGCGGGTTAATCGGAGTGCTCTCGGGGGAACGACAGAGGAAGTTCAGGAATTTAACAGTGCGTTCTCTTTTTAACAACATTTAAAATCTGACAGTCCTTGTTTTGGGTCCTGTCCTTATCAGGATTTTGTGTCTTATTATTACATCCCAGAATTCCCTCTAGGCTCTTTCTGCAAACAGGTTTGTGAGATTAACCTGATACAAAACATCTATGGGGAATTCAGTGATGATAAGATAAAAATAAATGAATGCACGTTCTGCATATTAGTGTCAAGTGAGGGTCCAGAAAGGTATAGTTAGATACTGAAACTTTCTCTGAATACATAAGTGTGAAGAGTACCATTCAGAAGGTTAGGGTTGGTAAGATTTTTGAAACAAGTTTGTTTTTGAAACAAGTACTCACCAAGGCTTTATTTACTTGATCAAAAATACAATAAAATATGAATGTTTGGAATATTCTTTACTGTGACTTTTGATCAGTTTAATGCCTCTTTGCTGAATAAAAGTATTAATTTCTTTTTTTTAAATCTTACTGACCCCTAACTTTTGAATTTGTACTATTGTGGTTTTTCATCCGTGAGTGAAGACCATCTATTTGCTATGTGTAAATCTTCTTTTGCCTGCCGGCCGTGGGTCGTGCAGGCCTATCTCTGTCAGATCTCACCTTTCAGGACAGAGATGTGCTGCCGCATTTCTCCGTCAGGGTAGTTGCGGATCTCTATGTCGTCTGAGTCTCGTAACTCCACTTTATCATATCCGTACCATCCAAGCAACTCATTCATGGTGTTTTCGGCAAAACTCTGCAGAGAGAGAGAGAGAACAATTTAAAATGCAATTTTCAATTTCGATTTTTTTTTATCTGTAAGGATTCAACAAATTGATGACATTGAAGATACTGCTTATGCATCATAGGTTAAATCGACTAAAACCATTTTTTATATATATATTACAGAATTATTGATTTCATAATCCCCCCCCCACACACACACACACACACACAGGGGGAGTCTTAATTGGTAAATAATTGCAGTCTGTTTAGGAGGTGTTGCTGCATCGACACAATCAATGTAAAAAAGAAAAAACTCGTGAGTGGCAGCTTTTGCAATGCGGATAAACAAAAGTCTCCACAGGGAATCTTATGTTTGCGTGGCTACTGTTAACCAGGGCCAAAAGGATTTTCATCCAAGAAATCCTCTACAGTGGCTCAACGATAGACAAAATCTGACTGTAGATAGCTTCAGTCGTTTCAGCTCCATATCCCTTTAAGAATGAAATCTGGAGAGGCTAAACTGACCAGGGCATCAAACAAACATCTTGCAAACAACACTTAAGCCAGACAACCAGAGAGCAGAGGAGGAAGACGCATTATTAACAAATCAGAGCTGACCGGACCAGAGCAGAATCATGTAGCTTTAACATACATACTAGACAAACAACATGGGCCATACTTTGAGTTTAGATTTTAATACCCATTTGCCCTATTCAAATCTTCAAAGCAGACTAATTTTAAGGAATCACCTCAAAAAAGTAGTTATACATGTCAAATATCTTTGTAAATGTTTGCTTAATGAATAAAAGCCTGCTTATATTCTGTGTAGAGAGCGTTAGTGGTTATGGTGTTAGTTTTATATGTAGAGAAAGTATAAATGGTTACACGTTCTTTCGATGGTCCACTTTGGACATTAATTATGAGTAACTTTGCAACTACATGTCAACTAACTCTCATTAGAGTATTAGTAGACTGTAGTACACTGTTGGGTGTTAGTGTTCGGGTTAGTAGAATAAGTTGACATATAATTGCAAAGTTGCTTATAGACCATAGTGTCTGATGTGGAAGCATCAAAATAAAGTGTTAGCAGATATTAAGCAGACAATATACTCTAATGACTGGTAGTTGACATGTAGTTGCAATATTTTGTAAAATGACATTAAATATATTAAATTATAATTCCCATCTGTTTTAAAATCTCAGTGTATTCATCTATAAGACATACAGTAAATGAGCATCTAAACATTCAGATATGTATTTATTTCCATATATGTATTATTTATTTTTGTAAATCAGTTTTTCTGTTTTAGTCAATCTGAGGGAGGCTCTCACCATCAAGTAGGGCGAGTTGCCATGGAGATTGCCTGCCTGCCCCGCCCCTGGGAGGGGCCGATTGGACGGGACCTGATGAGACACGAGTCAACAACTGTCAATCAAACATAGAAACTGTCAGTCAATCGCATTAAACTGTCAAGCAGCATAGGCCTACTATTGTTCTGTGTTGTCGGATACATACTTATTTAATGTAGTTTGAATGGGCTTTAACATTTAGTAAACCACCACATCGTACAGTAACAATTTTACTCTCCAGCGTAAACTACTACACAATAATAAACATACACACACATATGATCTAAAAGAAAACAGGCCGAATGAGGGATTCACTCTTACTGAGGCATAATAAGGAAACAAATCATTTTTCATAACTCTTGATTATTTGTACAGCATATAAAGCACACAGCAATCCTCCCCTGCTCTTCCTCTGTATGGCCACCAGGTGTCTGTCCTGCCCCTACCACTGCCTCTGGTCTCTGTAAGGTGAGGCTTCTGTTTTAGGATCGAGTTCACAAGGTCAGTCACAAAGCAGTAATCACACCCTGTCCACAGGAAAACCTCCTAGACAGTATCAGCACAGCACGGATCAATCTAGAATCACCTGAGCTCCGCTAAAGTGTTTTGGGGCACTTCAGGAGTCCTGATTGTCTGGGAACACCAGCTGAGCTGAGTTTAGAGGTGCCCAGAATTTCCTTAAGAGGGCTGACCTGACTTGCAGTGTTAACAAGTTGTAAATATATGTATACAGTACCGGTCAAAGGTTTGGAAACATTACTATTTTTTATGCTTTTGAAAGAAGGCTCTAATGCTCCTCAAGCCTGCATTTATTTGATTAAATACACAAGAAATGTGACATATTATTACAATTTAAAATGATAGTTTTCTATCTTAATATACTTTAAATTATAATTTGTTTCTGTGATGTAAAGCTGAATTTTCATCAGCCAATACTAGTCTTCAGTGTCACATGTTTTTTTTTTTTCAGAAATCATTCTAATATGCTGATTTATTATCAATGTTGGAAACAGTTGTGCTGCTTAATATTTTTTTATAATGATACTTTTTTCAGGATTCTTTGATAAATAAAAAGTTAAAAAGAACAGCATTTATTTAAAATATAAATCTTTTGTGACAATATGTTCAAAAGCTTGGGGTCGGTAATTATTTTTTCTTTCTGTTTTGAAATAAATTAATACTTTTATTCAGCAAGGATGTGTTAAATTGATAAAAAGGGATAGTAAAGATTTATATTGTTAGAAAACATTCTATTTTGAATAAATACTGTTCTTTTTAACTGTTTATTCATCAATGAATCCTGCAAAAGGATCACAGGATCCAAAAAAAATATTAAGCAGCACAACTGTTTCCAACATTGATAATAAATCAGCATATTAGAATGATTTCTGAAGGATCATGTGACACTGAAGACTGGAGGATTGGCTGATGAAAATTCAGCTTTGTACCACAGAAATAAATGATATTTTAAAGTATATTAAAACCGAAAACCATTATTTTAAATTGTAATAATATTTCACATTACAGTTTTTCTGCATTTTTGATCAAATAAATGATTAATATATACATATGTACAGTGTATATATATATATATATATATATATATTCACTTTGAAATGTATAATTCTATTTATTAGAGAGGGAGTTAAATGGTAAATTCACCCAAAAATGAAAATTCTGTCATCATTTTCATACCCTCATGTCGTTCCAAACCCATTAGACTTTCTTTTTTTTTTTTAAATGAAATCTGAGAGCTTTCTATCCCTCCAAAGACATCTACTCAACTGACACTTCGACGCTTCAAAAAATTAATAAAGAGATCTTAAAACTATGAATTGATCGGTTTAGTCCAAATTCTTTTGAAGAGACTCTGTCGCTTTATATGATGAACAGATTTTAAGAAAAATAAATAAACAGAAGCTCAACCAGACCTTCTTGACGCGCAAGAACAAACCTCAAACGTGCTGCGTAACACACAAGGATGAACCTCATTCGTTCTCGCACATCAAGCGAACATGTTTGAGCTTCAGTTTACCTCAACTGATGTGTGAGTGGATGAAAGTTTATATGTTAAATTAAACATGTTCATCATATAAAGTGATCATGTCTCTTCAGAAAATATTGGACTAAACCCCTCAATTGAAATGGATTAGTTTTACGATCTCTTTATGGACTTTTTGAAGCGTCAAAGTGGTAGTTGCGAAGCTGTCAATGTAGACACAGAAAGCTCTCAGATTCCATCAGAAAGATCTTCATTTGTGTTCCGAAGATGAACGAAAGTCTTACGGGTTTGGAACAACATGAGGGTGAGTAATTAATGACAGAATTTTCATTTTTGGGTGAACAAACCCTTTAAAAGAATAGAGAGAGGGAAATACATAGAGAATTTCTGAACAAACCGAACATTTAAGCACTCTTAAAAATGGAGAAAATGCTATTAAAGCTAAAAAAGTTAATGCTAAGCTATTCTATCCTTTAAAACTAGAATGTTTTTCTAGTGTTTTTTAATCATCCAATCCAATTGCATAGACAAATATGCATGCACGTGACCAATAAAAAACAGAATATGTTTCGAAAATGTTACAAAGCACAGAGGAAAACTAACAATTTAAAACGTCCTCATGTGCATCATTGCAGTGTGTTTGTCTTTTTTAAGTGCTGCAGATAAGCATGATTTCTGTCAAATGTACTGGATTCTGCACTAAATGTCACTCCACACACAAAATTACAATCTGAAATTCCCAGCACTCCTCCCCTCTGAAGGCCGCCCAATAATTACACATGCTCTGATAAAAAACAAAAAATCACAATGAAAAAAAAAAATAGAGAGGGATATTTGCTCCCCTATAGAGACAAAATCAAATCGGACACGTTTGGAGAGAACTCTTTTCACGGCAGACTGAAACATCAGCGAGAAAAGTTACAAGATACGAAGCAGCAAATCTCATTCCCTCTCTGCCGCCTTCCCTCTCTGTTTGCCGTGATTGTGACGGCGGGGGGAATCGGACACCCTGCGCGCAGTAACAAGAGTAGGTCACTGTACACCATGATAAAATTCCCTCCTCCCTTCACCAACTTTCCCTCTGACCAACCTCTCTTTCCCAGTCTCTCTCTCTCTCTCTCTCTCTCTCTCTCTCTCTCTCTCTCTCTCTCTCTCTCTCTCTCTCTCTCTCTCTCTCTCTCTCTCTCTCTCTCTCTCTCTCCTCTCCTCCCAACCCACACTTTTTCATTCCCTTCTTGCTTTTTTCTCTTGTCCCTCACTCATACTGAATATCACTCTTTTTCTCTCTTCCATATTCTCTCTCTCTCTCTCTCTCTCTCTTTTTTCTTCTCCCCCACCACTATGCTCTGCTTTCATTTCCATCTACCTTCCTTGATATTCGATCCGGCCTGTATTCTCAGCTTTCAGTTTTTACAGCTTAGGCTGCCTATTGCTGTATACATTCCTTTCTCTTCTCCCTCTCTCTCTCTCTCTCTCTCTCTCCCTCTCTTTCTCATCCCCCTCTCCATCGGGGCAATCACCAGCACGGGGCTTATTTTACCATGCTGCACATGAAAGCAGACGGAGATGAAGGCAACACTGTCTGACGCCTCTTCTCTGTATCTCTCTCGGAGGTATAATCCTCCACAAGGCCACATTGTTTACAATCTTCCGTATCTCTCTTGTTCTTACGTTTGCCATTTTTCTTTTGTCTCTTTTCTTGGAAGTAAGAGAAAAATTAAACAGAGAAATAACCGCACCAAAGCGAGGAACTCCTCATAGTCAGGGTGTGTGTGTGTGTGTGTGTGTGTGTGTGTGTGTTGGTGGAAATCTGATACGTGAGAGGGAGAAATTCATAATGCTCAGGTCTCAAGTTCTAACTGAGGCAATAAAAGGGAAGTGCAGAGTAAAACGCAGATTATATTTGAACACACACGCTCTTTAAGTGTTACAGTATGCTTTGTTTGTGCATCTCACGAGTTATTTACATAGGTACCGGCCGTCAAATAGGAAGTGACTGTGAGAAAACAGAGGAGTGAACACTTTTCCTTCACCTTTAAAGAACAAGCAACTTGACTTCCTTACAGTGGAAAGCATGAACTCAATGAGTTTGGGGAAGGGAAAGAACGAAAAAAATGAGTGAAAGCCGGTAGACGCATTTTGATAATACAGATGGGATGGAAGTATTCAGCCTCGCTGCAATTTCCGACACCTGTTCGCTCATGTATCTCAAACCCCTCAAACAGACCCTTACTCTAAACCCTCCTCTGGTTACTCTACACCGCATATCAAATTTAGCTTTGATTCCACAGAACCTGATCTGTGTCTGTTGACGCAAATGTTTGGGGAAAAGTTTTGTTTCGTCTCCATGGCTTTGCTGTTTCCTGTTTTTCATGTTACATGGGCCGTAACACATGCACATTGTTTATCGGTGCGGTTTGCATATGCATGGGACCACCGCCCTCAGCTGTCCCTGTGTCTCTGTGGTCTATCTGCAGTAACTATATGGGGTATCTGCATGGGGTATATAGGGCACCTGCATGTGTCTGGTGAAGATGTATGGGATGTTGTTGTACGGATGTGACCGCGTATTCTGAATTAGGGAAACCAAAAGTAATTATTTAAGAAATAGTATTTGAAAAAATAACATTGATTTTGAATATTGCTTTTTTGAATTCGATGGGAAATATGTCCCACTTAATGCCTAGGTGGTTACGACCCTGCTTTTATAGCAGAATCTTTATACACACGTATAGTATTTTTAAAAAAGGTGCAAAAGCCTTAACTGGGGCATTACCCATTTAGAAGATACAACTTTGTACCTTATATACCCCTTAAGGTTGCATATTAGTACCTAAATAGTACCTTCTTAAAGAGCACCACCGCAGTGACAGCTTTTTTTAACATTTCTTCTGAGTGTATGAACTTTTAAGTTATCTTTCAGGTAAAAATATGTTATTTTTTTGGCTAAAACTCTGTAACAGAACAGAAAAACAGAACGTTTAACCCTTAAATGCATGAATGTTTCAACAATCATATTACAAGTTATAACACAGATGGATCTCTACCTGTC